TACAAGTATTCCAGGCCTCCTCCGCCTCTTCTCTCTGCTTCATAGGTAGAGAAGTTATAGGAGATTGATTTGTAATCTTCCTGAGCTGCATTGAAGTTAAATGCATGAATGATATTCTTCCAGAATATTTTTACAAAAGGGTATATTTTTCAGACTTAAATCTGTGGCTGGAGCCTTTTTTAATGAACTCAAGTGTGTTAATCAGATTAATCACTGGGTCTGAACTAAGTCAAACAGGGATAAAACCTAGAGATAAAGGTGCTTAGTCCAGGCTTTCTGATTGTATTTGGATACGGAATGGATGTTAAGCCATACGTCTCTGGTAAAATGGGAGCAGTTTTGGGCATGCTTGGCAGCATATCTTGATATGACTCTAGAACTCCACTGATAAAAACTTGGGTGCCCATAAGATCTTAAGTGCCAAAGGGTAGACTAGGAGTTTGGAGATTACACTTTTCTATCCAAACTAAGATGACCTCACTTGTAGGTAATTCCTTGAGGCAGGTGTTTGCTTCAGGTCTTACAGTTCTGAAGATGCCCAATATAATAGGATTTACACTATCTAGCAAAATGTTCCTGTTGTACAAGGAGATTGAGGAGTCTGCTCTGGGCTTTTATGAGTGTACTATCCATTCCCCTATCCCTGGCTGACAGATTGAATTGCAGGCAGGTAATTGACAGCTTGCTTCTTGGGTTCTGAAAAAACAGCATTACCAGTAGTTTTCGTATTAACCTTCTATCTATGTAAGTGTCTGTGTCTAATGGTAAGGACCACTCTGTGAACTTCTTTCTAATTTCTGGTATTTAATGTGTTCACAGGAGTTCTGTTTTTCCTCTTTGTAAAACAGTCTCAGAAGAACTGTCAGTCATAGCTACTAGGGTTTTTTGTTAGTCTTTTTTTTCTTTTTCTCCCTTCAACTGAAGTACAGATTAGGAGCATAATGCAGAATGGACATGCACTTTTTTTGGATAGCATCCCTATGTAAGTTGTGACATGGATCTTATGATAGCTCTACAGTAGTGATCTGCCTTTTAAGTTTGAATGAAAGTTTAAAAAACTCAAACAAGAAGACTAGTTCTGGGTCCTGTCTTCTGTTGGTTTGTGTCCTGGCACATGGTGCTTTGGGAACTCCAGTATTGCAAAAAAAAAAAAAATGGTCAGAATGCTGATGGAGATAGTGAAAGGAAAATGGCACCATTTATCTTTAGTTTCCTATTGGTCTTTATTCAGTTTAAATAAAAGACGTATGTCAGACAAAGGATTTGGTTGACTGATCACACTATTTCTAGATCAGGTAGCTCCTGTTTTGAAGTTTTGAACTCTTACACCAGTTATAATAAGCATATTAAAGAAAAAAAATACATAGTGATCCTTTTTTTTTGGCTCATAGGTCATAAAAAAGGTCTCCATGCTTTGTCAGGTAATAGTAATTGTGAAATAGCTGGTAGGATGTGCATTTAGCTCTGTTTGTCTCATTAAAGAGAACAGGATAGAACTTGTTGAGCACAATAATAACAGTAAGCAGACTGTTTTTGCTAAGAATAAAAGATTTCTTGCTGATATCTGTTGATTACAAGGAAAGCAAAGGCAATGCGGAGACTGGCAAAGCTCTACGTCCATTGCAGACAAGCGGTTGTATTATGTTCTATATAAAGAACACAGGAAGTCTGCTTAAAGATGGTTTTGTATCTGTAACAGTGTTGAATATTAAAATATAGAATAGAAAATTTCTGAAAAACTTCAAGCTGATAATACAAAATATCTTAATCTGAAAATACATTTAAAAGAAATTAATTACTGTTTAGTTTACAGAGAAGGGAAATGCTAACCTTATATATTTTTCAGTATTTGGCAAAACTGATTATTTCACTCAAACATGTTTCAAGGCTGCATACTTATATCATTAAAAAAGTAAGAGTTATTTCAGAATGTTTTTCTACTGTATTTTGTCCAGAGCTAGAGCAGTTTTGGGAGAATTAATGTTTTAAGCTTGTTTCAGTTGCCCATTTCTCTCTGTAAGCTTACTAGTTTATGGGATCTCTTGAAAATTACTTTTTTGCAATACTTTTATGGGTAGTAGATTGGTGTAATAAATTGCATGTGCATGATTAAGGGTAGCATTTTGGCCTCTAGAATTCTCGTTATTTTGTATAATCTACAAGATGGAAAACACAGCTCAGGATGTGATTAGCTGGCTTACAGACTCATTTTTTGACTTGCTGTCAACCAAGTATCCCAAGTCTTTTTTCTACAGAGTTGCCCCCTAGTCTGTCTTCAGCCTTTGCCAATGCATGACTTTGTCCCCAGGTGCAAGACTTAGCATTTCTCTGAAGGTCCTGACAGCTTATTCTTTCAGTTTGTTGAACTCCCACTGAATGGCAACCCTGCCCTCAACTCTGTCAACCAGATCCCCGTCCCACCTTATTTGGCATCTCAGCAAGCTTGCTGAGAGTGCATTCTGTTCCATTGTGCAGGGTGTTGAAGTTAAGTTGTGTTGATCTATCAGCCCCTGAGGAATGACATCTGTAACAACGTGCTAGTTACACTGTGAGGAGGGCCAGTTAGACTTTGAAGTATTAACAGCTTCTCTTTGAGCCTGGTAATCCAGACAATTTCCCACCCATCTTGCAGTCTACACATCCCTCCAATTTGGCAACAAAAATACTATGAGACTGCATTGAAAACCTTGCAAACATCAAGGTAAATAACATTCACAGTACTTTCTTTGTGCACTGAACCAGTCATCTCACTACAGAGGGCAGAGTTATCAGGCATGATTTGTAGTTTGCAATTCTATGTTTGTTGTTGCCACTCACCTTGCTGGTGTTGTACTTTGAAGGGGCTTCCATGAGGACTTGTTCTGTAATTTTTCAGGGGACTGAGGTGAGGGTGGTCATCCTGTTGTTCCCCAGGTGTTTCTTCATCTTTTTGAAGGTGACTGTGTACATTTACCTTTTTCCAGGGTCATCCACTGATCACCACTACTTTTCGGATGTGATAGGGAGACCTCTTGTCCAGTTTAATCAGTATGTGCATCCCATCTAAATCCATAAACTAACATGTTTCCAGTTTGCTTAAGCACTCCTTAAGTTGATCCTTCTTTCCTCCAGGTAGTACTTCTTTTCGCCAACCTCTGCTGCTAGGCACTGGGGCCTGAGAAGCCCGAGAGTAGACCTTGCTGGTAAAGACTGGCAAAGTATTGAGTGTCTTAGCCTCTTTCTTCTTTCATGTCCTTTGTCACTAGGTCTTCCCTCTCTTTCAGCAGTAGACCTGTGTTGTCCTTGCTTGTAGCAGGATATCCAGTAGGCTCATAGAATCCCTTTTTGTTTTTTGCATCTTTTGCTAGCTTCCGCTTCAGCTGTGGTTTTCCAGGTTCTATCCCTGCATGCCTGGAAAGTGCTTCTGTGTTCGTCCTGGGTTAACTTGTCTCAGGTTCCACCTTCTGTAAGCTTCCCTTTGTTTTTGTTAACAGTTCTCCGTTTAGACAAATAGCAGATCAAGTGGACTCTTCTCATCCTCTGTGGAGGTTGTCTTTGAAGATCAACCAGCTCTTGTGGGCACCTTTGTCATTCATGACCATCTCCCATGAGACACAGCCAAGCAGCTCCTTGAATAAACTGAAGTCCATTTTCCCGCAATGCAGGGTTTTTCTTCATTCTGTTACTTGCTTTCGTCACTTCCCTTAGACTCTTCAGCTCCAGTATCTCCTGGTTGCTGCAACCAAGGCAGCTGCTGACTTGTGTGTCCCTGTTTTAGGCTGTTTTTTTATTTAAATTAATGAGGAGAAAATTCAATAGAGCAACACTCCTAGTCAGTTGGTTCAGCATTTGTGTCAATACTTGTCCTCAATGCATTCGAAGTCTGGATTGCTTGTGCCCTACTGTGTTGCTCTCCCAGCAGATGAACTGGTGGTTCTATTCCACTATGAAGACCAAGGGTAAGTGTGGGAAAGCTTCCCTTGTTTCCCTGTCCTGTGTGTGCCTCTTGCCTTGTATTTCCATCACCTCAAGAACTTGGTTTAGTCAGGTTTGGAATATATCCTCCTCATGATTCCCAAATTTCTTTTGGTATATAGAAGCAGTAATTAAGTAAAGTGTAGTTTATGTGAGACTGAATATGTTTACCATCAAAAGGCAAATGGCTTAGTTGACATGTATCAGGCTTTTTTGTTTCCATATATTTCAACACACAAATAGATGAATTACATGTTGTTGTATCTACCTTGGTCTGTAATTTAATTTGACCTAAATCATCAATGTACCTCCACTCATCTGTTTCTTCTTCACCATACGGAGAGATACTTGTGTTGAGCTGTTTGTATTTCCTATTCTTCATATCATAGAATCAAGATTAAAAAATATTCAGTATTACATTGTGATAGAAGTTGTCTATACTGGTGGTACACGCGGTTAAGGAAAGAAAAAGTCTGATCTGATGGAATGTGTTGAAAAAGAATAGCTAATGTTTTGGCTAGTTTGTTAGCCAACTATTTAAAGGAAAAAAATACACCAAACAAACACAAAAAACCCCCAACACCCCGAATCCACAAAGAGCCCATAAGTGGTCATGTGCTGCAGCTTTCCAGATGGTTTTCAGGAATACATTGTTATAATGGTGGTGGTGTGTATTAACTCAATATTATCTATTTAAGTCTTCAGAAGTATTGTATTTCTTCTGGGAATGAAGCTTTATGACAAAGAACCAAGAATACAAACTTGGTTCTTTTTGGAAAGGATTTGTTAACACTACACTTAAGTAGCTGAATTTATTTTTTAATATTCTATTATTTTTGAATGTGCAAAAGAATACCTTCTGTAAGGTAATACTGTCTGCTTTGAATTATAATGAACATGCAACATGTAAAAAATCTGTTATGTAACCTTTAGGTTTTAAAACATTTATTATGTGGACTACGTGTTTCTTTTGGTTTTATTTGTATCATCTGTTTAAAAATATATCTTAAAACCTGACACAGGCTTCAAGCCGTCAAGAAGATGAGCAAGTTGTTCTTGTCAGAACAGATCAAAGTGGAAGGGCATGGCCTGTGACCACACCCTCTGAACCACAGGAGCCAAAAGGAGGACGGAGAAAGCGACAGATGGTAAGTTTTACAAATGTGAGTATTAAAGTGTAATTCTGAAATGATTTTGTAGTTTTATGATGCCATAATTAATATGAGTGTCTTATCAGAATGTCAATAGGTAGTTAAAAAGTTCTTTGTAATTAAGTGTTAGAGTACATATTTATTAAGCATATATTGAGTTTCTTTTCAGACTACATTTCCCTAGGGATCATTTCAGGGCTTACTTAAATGCATGTTCAAGGAAAAGTAAGTTTTTCAAATTATCACAGTCTCTTAGCCAAGTAGTTTATATTATATAAAGTTATTTAAATAATGAAGATTAGCAGAAGTGAATATTTCCAAAATAAGAAAGATTCTGCTGAGATACTCAGGTCCCAGGGGCTAATTTTCAATTTTCTTTTCTCCTGATCAAAAGTACTGCTACTGCTGATAATAAAAATCATGACCTAATCTTTATAACAAAGTGTTTCGGGGAGCAATGACAAGATTGGAGGCTGGAGCAGTGTTTTATTCTTAAGATATTTGCTTGCAACAGTAAATAAACTAATATTTCAATATTCTTGGGATAAAAGGAGGTGACAATGCCTCATACTTCTAGCAGGTATGTTCTTGACTAGTAGGACAGCTCAGTTTGTAACACTGCTATGGAGGAGTGAAAGGCACAAGAAGTTAAAGAATTGGTTGTCATCTTCCTTTATGCCATCTCTGCTTTATGTTACTGACCATTCACTGTGGTCCTTCAGGTTTTAGTTTAGTCCTGCCCTAAAGGACAAACTCCTTTCTCTTGTGTGCTCTGTTTAAGATGGCAACATTTCCCAGCAGAGGTACCACATTTATACAAGTTTTCAGTAGTGTCTGTGACTTGACAATTCAGAAGCTTTTGTAAATAATGAAGATTACTTTTTGTAAGATTCCATTTTTGTGCGCTGATTAACTGTTTCAGTGAGCTACTGTACCTCTTTCCTGAGTGGTAACGTAGCTGATAGCTTAAGGATATAAAAGATATAGTGACTGGGGAAAGAGGCTATATTTTTATTTAGACTTAATGATGCAGTTGAAGAAAGGGGAAGATGTTCTTTTCTTTAGGTCAAATGAGCAAGCCCAATTGCTTCAGATATGCTTATCATGATTCATGTTTCTTTTAACTTGTTGAAATTATTAGGATCTGATTTTTATAGTTGATCTTTCTCATTAGGTTAGTATTTATTTCCAATATGTTTGTTTCTAGGTCCCTACTCACATAGATAAAGAAAGAGTAAGGTTTTTTCAGGATGATGATAGTATGAGCCTGAAGGATTTGGTTGAAAATGAGAAGATGAGAACAGCAGAGGATCAAAACTCACTGTTCATGCGTATGGCGTCAAAGGTAAGGTGTCATGTCTATGACTTTTTAATTAAGCATTTTATTATTAGAAATGTCAGGGAGGACATGAGTTCTCACTGTACTAGGTATGTTGCTTTTGGTTGAGAATTCTCATTTTCTTAAATAATAATCAAGTCTGTTGTAAGAGGGTCCTGGTAGATGTTATCAAATTGATGGAAACCTACCTGCATGTATGCAGGACCTGTGGTGTGTTCAGTTCCTTCATGGAAGTAATTGTGCAGTTCCTCTGCCTGTAGAATTTGACACTTCTGAGGTGAACACTTTCAGAGTGTGGTGTACATTAACAGGTTACTTATGCCCAACAAAGCAGTTTTTCCCCAAATTAGTGATGAATAAAAGGAGAATTTTCTTAGTGTTTAGAATGTCTCTTCCATCTAGAAGTTACAAGAATCAATGAGATTTGAAGCAAACTGTCTGAAATTCCATTAGGATGTCCTGGATAATTAGATAATTTGTGCTCACAGGCCACACAGATTTATAGATTATGATTCCATGAGTGATTTCACTTAAAAGAGCTGCCAGGTCACAGGAAGATACTGCAGTGCAAATGGGATGACTAATTTCTGTCATCCGAACTGAATAGTAGAGGATACTTTCTGTGTTTGGTATAGAAGTATTTGACAGAGATGATTTCCGTAGCTACGACATACAGTTTCTCTAGCATGCTTCAAAAGTTACTAGGTTACTGCTCCAGTATTTTTTACACCACTGAGCAGGTTTTGAAAAAGCTTGTTAGCATGGAATTGGTATCATCACAGACAAAATTTGTTTTTCTATTTATCTAGAAGGCAGACAAGATCCTGGAGAGTAAGTTTTAGTTGGTGGTTTTTTTTTTTTTCTTTTTAAAATTCTCCTCCTTCGGATGATACTTGAAAGAATTGGAAAAACCATGATAGTATCTAGTAGAAAATATTTAAACTGACGATATAAGTCATCTGGCAGAAAACTCTTCTGGAGAGATTATCAGAACTTTAGAAAGTAGTGTGGTTTATGCATCTTCTCATTCAGCTGCTTCTGGTAGAAGTTCTCAATCTGTCCTACTGGCATACTCAAAAAAAATTATGCCCTTGGGGTCCCATTAAATAAACATGCCTTGTTGCCAGTATTTGGTTTCCTTTTTACCTTCCCTTCCAAAAAAACCCCACAAACCCAAACCACCAAACCCAGCTTTGTGTCAAAAACTCTGTAATAGTGCAAACTATTAACTATAATTAACTAGCATATCTGGCATGCAAACATTTTCAACTGACAGTGTAGGGACACAATAAAACTTTGTACTGTCTGCATCATATGATAATAAGCATAACAAGGAGAAATGGTTGCCATTTTCTCAAGGATCTTATTAGTCTTGTATTGTCTTCATTAAGTATTTTCTTTAGAAGAGGTAACTGTTGTGAAAAATGGTGGTTGGGGTGTGTGTGTATGAATGTCTATGTTAAACATAAGTGGAATGGAATTTCAAAAAAATCTTGAACTCAAATATGGGCATCGAAGATGAGCTTGTAAATTAATATTAACATGTCTTTCTGAAATTATTATTAATGTGCTTAATTTGTCCTGTGTTTAGTCTGATTTTTCATGTGACTGCTTCCACTGAACAGTTTACAGGATTGCTTTTTGTGCTCTGATTCCTTTCAGAGATGTGAAAATAAAACCAAGTTAAGTTGAGCTTCCTGAGTTTGGTAATAGCAAACGTTTGCAGTGCCCCTATGAAGACGTAGTACAGAGTACTCTCAAAAAGAGATTATTTTTTTGTGTGTGTGTTTTTCCAAACTCAAATGAAAGGCCATTCAGACTTTTCTGAGAAATGTGCGTGGCAGGGGAGTGGAACTAGATGATCTTTAAGGTCCCTTCCAACCCAAACCATTCTGTGATTCTGTGATTTATAAAGTAATGTACTTAGCTTGGTCCTGAAATTTCTAAACTTAATGAAAAGTATTGTTTGCGTATTCATATATTTATTGATTCCAAATGTCTTAGCTTCAAACTGGAAATAACATATGACTCTTAGAGCATGTTCAGTTGTCCTTGGTTTAGTTTTTGCATTTTTGACTTAATATTAAGTAATTCTTAATGCAAGGAAGACTAGCAAACTTGAAGGGAGATCTAAGATTTTTGTATTACTTAGTTTTGTAAGTCTTCAAAGGGAAAATTCTGATAATTTTTCTGTGTAATTTTTTTGTTCTTTTTTTCTATTCAATTTTGTAATGGCGTGAATTTTCCAAGTTCTTGATGACTGAAACACTTGATGCAAGAGCAGCTATATGAGGGATTCACTCAGCCCAGTTTTCTGTGTTCAACAGTGAGTGCTTAGGAGAAAGAGAATTAGAACAGGTCACATTTACAATGATTAAGCCTTTATGTACTTTCCTGGCTTTTAGCAGTTTGGAAATTTTTACAGTCCCTCCTTACCTGGTATTTCTCTGTGCTTTTGGTTTATGGGTAGTTGCGGTAATTGGGGACTGGACTGAATATCCCCTGTTACTTCCTTTCTGTGGCTCCTCATCTCCCGTTCTGTTATCTGTACCTATTGCTAAAAGGTATGAGCTGTAATTATTGAATTTGAAGAAAACAGAAAAACATTCTGTATGCATAACATCTTTGGTTAGCATTCTTGTAATCTGCAGCCAGTTCCTCAAAGATTTTGGCTACTTGCACTGTAAGGATTTCTGGGACAATGGTGAAATTTGGTCCATTTAGGAATGGTGCAGAAATGCTTGGCTCAGTATGTAGCTGTTTTAAAAAGAAAGATAATGTACAAATGAGGGTCAACTTTGGCAACTGAGCTTCTGCATCCACATAGGAGAGGAAAATGCAATATAGTGTGTAACTTCTATAAAGACGCAGTTATGAAGAAATGTGGTCTATTTAGTGGGAGGTTAAAATGAGTACTTAAAGAGAAAATGCTTGCAGGTTATGAGGAACTCTAGTACTCAGTGCACATGTCTGCCACTGATGAAAGCATTCTAAGGGAGTGAACACCCTCACAAAATGGGATAAAACTTTATTTAATTGTTTTTGTTTAAAAATAAATTGAAACGTGGGGGAACAGAAGAAAAAAGAGCTTCTGGAGGTTAAAAGAAAAATCTAATTCAGAACACAACCATTGTTTAAAAAGTACTTGTCGTGTCCAAGTAAGGAGAATGGAAAAGAGCTTGAGCCCAGCAGGCTTAGAAGTAAGCTTTGATAAGAAAGATTGAAAAAGTGTCTTGAGGGAATTACTTTAAGTAATTATTTTGAGTTTGCTAAAAGCATAAAACTAGGAGTTAAATTCATTGGAAGCAAGAAGCCTGCAGGAGCATGATGTTGAAAAAACCTGATCAAGGTACAATTAGAGCATTTAGGAAAGATAAGTGCATGCCAGAAGAACTAACAAACTATTTGCATTAATATCCTCTATAAATGAGGTCAGAGCGATTCTTTTGCATGAGCCGTTATTTAGAGGTAATAAATGAAAAACTGTTTCAAGTTAACAGTGTCAGTAAAATTACCTTTAGCTCAAATTTATAGAAAGCCACTATTTAAAAAATAAATTTGAATTTTAGATGAATAATAGCAAATGGCTAAAGCCGAATGATCCTCACTTAAGTGGTCTGAAAGAAGTCAGGTGTGACTTGCTGCACTATGAACTTCTGAGCGTAATCTTTATTCCTCCTGAGGAACAGTAGGTGGCAAGTATAATAGCAATCTCGAGAAAGAAAAGGGAGGGCATGAGTAAATGGTTATTTTTTATTATAAAAGGAGGTTACCAGTAGATTCATCAGGAATGTCTTCTGTTCAACACATTCATAAAGCAACTGGAGGAAGGGATACTTTATGACCTGACAATTTGTTATTGTTACATAATTATTCAGTACTGTCAAATATAGAAGTTACTGTAAGTTGTAAATTGTAGAATTTCAAAGTACAAAGCTGGGATTTTTCTAGAATTGTGAAACTTATATCCGAACTGATTCTGAAGATTCACTCTGGAGAGTTGCTAGAGAGATGTACATATTTTGGTGGTGTGAGTCATCTGTCCTTTTTGAATGCCGTCTGACAGATGTTAGGGATGTAAAAAGGAATTAAGATGTCTAGCTCAGGCACAGGAGATTATGTTGTAGACCTCTCAAATAAGGAGAAAGAGATCCCACCATGGATATTGAGGAAGTAAATTCAGATGAAAGTCAGGGTTGATGAATGATGGTAATCGTGAAACTGAGTGAACTGTGGATATACCACAACAGGCTGTTACTGCTTGATATGAGAGTCATTGTGAATCCGCAGACATAATCTCAGTGCTGGTGGGATTGTGAAAAAAAGCGAATTTAGGATCAATTTTAAAACATGTAAGGCTACTGTGTATTGTGTATCATGCATCCCTAGCTTGAATGCTACCCAAGCTTGTAAAGTGTACCCTGTGGTGAAAGGTACAGAATAGTAGCCATTTGAAGAAAACCTAAGTAAGACAAAATTTCTTCAGCTTGGGCAGGGAAAAAAAGGCAGCTGGTAGAATAGAACACACAATTAACATAAAAGTTTAATAGAAAACAACTGTTTTTGTTTCTCATATGTGAAGTGTTCACACAGCAGTGTTTCACATGAAGGAGGGTTTTGGTTTGTATTTTTCTTTTTGTTTTTTTGGTTTTTGGTTTTTTTTCAGTGGAGAAGGAAGTTGTAGAAGTAGCATTGTAGAGCATGAGATGCTGTGGCAGCCTTAATTGTGAGTGGGAGGAAGAAGGATACAGCACCTTTGTGAAGTACAGTTTCACTGGTTAATATTGAATAGGAAGATCTAGATAGGATTTTGGCTCAGAATTTCCCCTGTGAAATGCTGAGCTGCAAGTGTGTAGCGGGAGTGTCAGTTCTAGTGCCTTGTTTATGTTTTTTCCATATGGTTTAGCCATTCTTGGAGATTGATTTTGCAACATAAAATGATCACACTGGGTTAGAGCAAGCAGCTGAGTTTAGTGTGTTTCATTCTAAAGGTTTATTTCTTTTGT